TTTTGCCCCGCACTGCGTTCTCCTGGCTCCGATGGCATTGCGTTAAATCTCCCGCGGGTGGTGAGCGTGGAGGATGATGTGTCCATGGGGCTGAAGGAGCATCAGGGTGGGGGCAGCCCGGGGCTGGGGCAGATGCAGCCCCCATGGCACAGCCAGCATCCCGCAGCCCCACCGCTGCAGGTGGTGATGGAGAGCGGAGGCGAGGAGGGCAATGCTGCTGATGCCAGCGGTCGCTCCACCTTGGCTGGAGGTGGACCAGCATCACCAGCTGCCCTGCAGCTCGCAGAGGAGAACACGAACCCTGGGGAAAGGGAGTTAAGTGTGAGCGAAATGGCTTCGAATGTGCAGAAGGAAGCTGAGGAGGGGAGTGTCCGGGCTGGAGAGGATGAGGAGAGCTGTGGTCCTCAGCATCGTGATGCTCGAGAGAACATGGAGAGTTGTGGTCCTCAGCCTCGCGATGCTGGAGAGCCCGGCGGGGTTGCGGCGCTGAAGCAGCAGGTTGCTGCTCTGGAAGAGCAGCTGAGCAAGAAGAAAGAAGAGCTTGAGCAGGTGAGAGCAGTGCTGAAGCAACAAGATGATGAGATCAAGGAGAAGGAGAGAAGTATTGAGTTACTGGCCAGCTCCAAAGCTCAGCTGGAAGAGCAGCTGTGCCGGGGAACCACCCCTGAGGCACAGCCACCGGCCAGGCAGAGCGGCGGGGCTCTGCAGTGCCACGATGCTGCGGTGAACACCGACCTCTCACAGGTCGCTGTGGCCAAGCAAGGCCACGATAAAGGCATCAACGTAAATATCCCGGTCCTCACCAAATCCGTAGGATGCAGCGTCTGCAGAGCAGACAACGTGAACGTGCAGGCGATGGAGTTGGGTGCTCGCAGAGATCAGGGACGGGCAGAGACTCGCACTGGACCCGGACATTTTGGTGAAGCCAACGTTGAGGCTGGTCTTCACACACCGTGCTTCACCCAGCTGAAGATTGATGAGCACGTCAGCGATGACAATCAAAATCACAGGAATAACTACGATACCCAGGGTCTGGCTGCTCCCACAGTGACTGCAGAAAGCTATCAAGGAACAAGAATCGGCTCAAACACGGTAGAAAACACGGCAGGCTCTGGGAAAGATAAACCTCGAGATGGGCTGGAAGAGGAAGGTCCCCCTGACCACAAGGATCTCCCCACTGTTGACCCCATCGGCCAATATGTCAAAAAAATCCAGGAGCTTTTGCAGGAGCAGTGGCTGTGTCTGGAGCACGGCTACCCTGAGCTAGCGAGCGCTATCAAGCAGCCGGCCTCCAAGCTCAGCTCCATTCAGAACCAATTAGTTAATTCCTTAAACTCGTTGCTCTCTGCCTACTCTACGCAAGGGCCCGCCGATAAGGAGAATTCGAACACGCACTATCAACAGTTGGGTAAATAATAGAGGTTTCAACGTGTCCGGGCCAAATCTCTTCCCATTTATTCCAGTGTTGAGCAGGGGGATGCAGTGGAGCTCAGGGGTGTGACTAGTATCGGATCAGAAGTAGCTCCTCCTAAACACGGCTCAGAAAGGCAAATCTCTGCACCTCATGAGCTATATGATCCTAAATACAAAAAGCAAACGAAGCCATGTAGGAGCTGATAAAGCTGAGCCTCAGTTATATGCAGGATCAGCTTCCAAAAGTGGCTGTACTTGTGGCTATTCCATCCCATAACCGTTAATTGGATTGGACATCTCAATGTACAAGGACATGGGACTCATGCTCCTCTGGGGTCAATCAGCGTGAAGTTCACCAGAACTCAAACCTGATGAAGCTAACTGAGCAACTGGGCTGAGAAAAGACCTAAAATAATTTATAAAATAATTTTAGCTTATAAGAAGTTAAGAATCCAAAACTGAAGGCTGTTTTTTCAAATAGCTAAGTGACCTATTAGTTCAAATGTGAGATGGTTCAAACTCCAATGGAAAGACTCATCCCTGTAGTATTATGGGAGATTTATATATGAGATTTCCAGTACAGCAGTATTGAAAAAAGAGAAAATATTACAAAAGTAAAACCTACTTATATTCACATATGTATAATTCCCAGTCACTTCCTTTATATTCCCAGTCCCTTGGAGATGTCTGAGACACGTATTTGAAAGGTGGTAGAGCAGGTTCAGGTTGTGGCCAGGGGAATCAGTTTTGCAAAACATAAAAATCATCTCCTAAGATGAACAAAGATGCTTACGTTTATGATTTGTAGTTTGTTGATAGAGGTTGGGAATAATAATTGATAATTACAGCACATCTGCTTAATTAATCTATTATTTTGTATTTTGCTAGAAACATCTCCAACCACAAGTCTTAAATCTATCATGAAAAAGAAAGGTTATGGTTTCCATGCAGGAGGCAATGGGACCAAAAAGAATCTTCAGTTTGTTGGGGTAAATGGTGGGTAAGCATCCGTTCAGAAGAGAAAACTGCCTTTTAACATGTGGTGTCCTCTGTATCGCTGAAGAAGTCATTCTTTTTTTTTTTTTCCCCCTCTTTTCCCCTCCAAACCTCTTGATTAAAAGGCCATTTGCCATGGAGCCTCTTTTCTCCCTTCTTTAATCCAGCACTAGTAACCTGTAAGTAACCCTGTAGGAAAGATGTTGGTGTTTCCAGCGCAGCAAGGGACACCCTGGGGACGGACACTCTCCGCACACCCATCTGTTGGCGCTTCACCCAAAACCCAGCTGGGTCCGTGGGAAGGTTCCCACCAGCTTGGGTGGGTTTTGGAGGAGGTCGGCATTGCCTGGGTCTGCACGCTGCCACTAACCTGCCTTCACGCTCCAGCGACGGCCGACAACAGTTAGTTCAGGGACTGGGAAAGGACTATTTCAGTAAATAATTATTAATAATAATTTCAGTTAATTACCTCATGGTGAAGGAGACCCATATTTTAGGTTGTGCTCCAACACCCAGTTCCCTGCGTATCCAGTATCCAACGCTCTTTGGCCTTTGAGCTAACTAGATACACCAACGTGTGGTAGGTGCTTCTCTAAGTAGTACCGGCACATCTTCTACCAAAGAGTATGTGTGTTGGCGTGACGAGGGCAGGACGCATTTCGCTGTCCCTTCGCTGTGCCAACAGCTATGTGTCCAAGTTTGGATGCTGGTTTCTGCTGACATACGCTTCTCCAGCTTCCCAGCTCGATGGCTGCTGCTGCTGGGTTTATCTACTCACTCTTGTTGTGTAGACCTTCTTCTACCAGCAGTCGCTGAAGTGGGTACAACCTGTAGCAAGTAGAGGAATCTCAACTAGTTTGAGAAAAGTTTTGGGATCCCTCAGAGTGAAATGTTCTGTCTCACGGGAGATGTTATTATTATTAAAATTTGTGGACAACCAGAAGAGAGGTGTCTCTAGCAGGGCTGCTCGAATGGTGGGCTCAGGGCCATGCTGGAGCTGCAAACATAGTTTTTGTGTAGTGGTCCTCAAGGTTGTCAATATGCTGCCTGTCCCACCTTGCCCCAGGGTCCGTGTCTCTCGCTCCTGGCAGGGAGGTGGCACCCAGCCCTTGCTCGTGCAGAGGACATCCCCCCAACCCAACCAAGCAGTCCCTGAAGTAACCTTGCCTGCTGCTAATTAACTGCTTCTATCACACTCCTGCTGGCTTAAGAAGCCATAAAAAAGAAAAGACTAACCCCAAGTTTGGCTGTGGCTCTAACCTCCTCACTTGCGTATCACTCTGGGCTTCACCCAAGGCCCATTGGAGTCCGTGGGTGTCTTCAATGAGTCTTGGTCAGGCCGTGCGGTTGCGGATGGAGAATGGGGGAATAACGCTGGTGTCCTCAAATAGCTATGAAACGACTTCAAGCGAAGACACGAGTTGCGAAGACAGCCCATCGGATGGGGATGCGGAGAGCGAGACGGAGAGGAGAGCTGATGATTTGGAGCCCATGCAGGAGACAGCTGGAGGTGGAAGTGAGGGGGCTTCCTCGGGGACGGCCTCGCAGGAGGGACGTGAGGACGACGATGCGCAGGAGCCATCGGCAGAAGCAGCGCCTTGCTCTCAGCACAAGGCTGACAGGTAACCAGAACACCAGCCGGCGCTCGTGCTTTCCGTCACATTTCCGAAGCCTTGGGACGCACAGCGCTGCGTTCGGTCAGTCCCGCGGGGCCGGGGTCGGTGCTTCATCTGCTCGGTGGAAATGCAGCTGCTGACCTCTGTAGGCGTGGGAAAAGGCTTTAGAGAGCTAAATATTTTTTTTAGTTACTACAGAATCTAGTGGAGATTGATCCAGGCCCTAGGCTTAATGGTGGAAAAGGCAGAGTGAGTCATATTTGGTGAGAATTAGCTCATTTCTCCCCTCTCAAGTAAAGTTTCTAAGTAAAGTTCTTTGCAGATTCAGGAATAAGTTTTGGTTTTTTTTTCCACTTTAAGGATTCTTGTAAAAGGTGAGGTTGCCCATACAGATCTGTGGAGTTAAACACTTATTTAAGTGCTTAACTTGTACCTAAAATCTGTGTCCAGTCAATGCGACAACTTGTGTCCATAAAGTTAAGCCCTTAAATAAATGTTTAAAGTATTCTGACCTGAACTGCCCTTTCTCCTTCCAGCTTCAGTATCTCCTGCAAGTTCTGTCCCATGATGGATTTACAAAAGTATTTTCCCTTTAGATCCAAACCCTCCGAAGATTTCCTTGCTGGCTGCCAGCTCCTCAGCAAGCACCTCTCCGAAATCAGGACCACAAGCGACAAGCAGCTGGTACAGATAATTTTCAATCCCGTTTTGGACACGGTTCCCACTCTGTTACATTTCATGGATAAGATTGTCCCGACAATTTAATGGATAAGATTGGCCCTATCCTGCCATGGATGGTTTTGGGAGGAGAGGGGGATGAGATGACTTCTGAGTCAGTTTTAGGCTAGCCAAAAGAAAAGAAAAGGGGAAAAAAAAAAAAAAAGAGAGAAGATGAAGGCTTTCTCTGCTTACTCATTCAAGTTACCACAGGAAATTCCTTTCCCCCTTAAGTTCTAGCAGTAATCCCAAAACCACAAGCTAAATACCAGCTGGAGGAATAGCGCAGGACGAAGGGGCGAGGAGCTGGGACAGCGGCCGGTTTGCAGGTTGACTACCCCAGGAGTAAAGGCTTGACCTCGGTGTTTTCAGCGGCACGTCCTCAGCACCATCTGCCAGGAGTGGTTCCAGGTGTCGAGCCGCAAATCTTCCAGCCCAGAGGTGGTTGCGGTGTATCTCGAGGCGCTGGGGGCCATCCAGCCCCAGCTCCTGGCAATGGTGGTGAACCTGGCCGACAGGAACGGCAACACAGCTCTTCACTACAGCGTTTCCCACTCCAACTTCCCCATTGCAAAGCTCCTGCTGGACACAGGTAGGACCGGCCGCTCTGCTCAGCCATGGCTTCTGGTGGGTGTGGGTGGGGAAGTTGGTTTATGTTGCTCTTGCCAATGGGGCACAGCCCCACAGGGGATGACCATGGTGGGCAGAGCCAGGTAACGGGGTCCATCAACAGTCCCAGACATGGCAAACAGTAAATGAAGTCCAGGGTCCTCCCAGGGAGTTCAGTCAGGAGAAAAAGGAGATGGGACAGAGGTGGGCTGGGGATCAACTACAGCTTACATGCAAGGGAGCCATCCAGGAGACAAGTGAGGGGCCAAGGTCCATCCAAGAGACAAGTGCAGGTCCAAGGTCCATCCGGGAGACAAACATGGGGCCAAGGTCCATCCAAGAGACAAGTGCAGGTCCAAGGTCCATCCGGGAGACAAACATGGGGCCAAGGTCCATCCAAGATACAAACATGGGGCCAAGGTCCATCCAAAAGACAAACACGGGTCCAAGGTCCATTCAGAAGCCATGGTTGATCTGGAGACCAGCAGCACCCCTCAGCTGAGTCCCATGGGTGTAGGTGGGGGGTCCCAGCTGAGGCCCCTCAGGCTCCTTAAGTCCCGTTAGTGCCCTTAGGTCCCCAACACATCTGGAGGGCTTTGCAATGGGACTTTGGAGAGGGCTCAGGGTCCCCATGGCCAAGGGGTGTCTTGCACGGCCCCGGTCCAGGTGGGATGGGAGGGGGTGGGGTGGCTTCCCCAGCTAATTGGAGCAGCAAGTGCCACATCATGGCTCAGAGCTGGAGGACCAGACCCCTGAGAGCGTAACAAATGCCACAGCTCTGCAGAAAAGCTCCATTTTGAACTCTTGAACTTTCAGCTTGCGTTGCAGAGAAAGAAAAAGCTCAGCTGAGCTCGTACGAGGAGAAAAGTGCCTGCGCCTTCAGTGAGAATAAAGGCACTTTGGCCTTTTCCCATGGGCCAGGCAATCTGCGAAATGTTAGGGAAATGGCAGATTATCATACCCATCTATAACCCAATTGTTGCCGCGGCCGCGCAGGATTTTCCCCTCCTGCCCCGAGTGCCCAAGGAGGCCAAGTCCCTGGGACGAGGCTGGACCCGAGCCCTCGCCCCTTGGGCACGGCTCGTTCCTCATGGTTGGGGGGGTTGGAAATAGGCTCTTTGAGGTGAAAAATGGGTGAAACGGGGCCAGGTTGGCTTTATGCCGCCCGTTAGGTTACAGTCATCTTTCTGCTGCTCCCTGTTTGGAGGAGTCGAAGCAAACAGCCCCAGAACCATCTTCCCAAGGCACTAATCGGCATTAATCATCCCCCCCCACTTTCTTTTTTTGGTGATGGTCTTCCAAGTTAATTGCGTTGACCTTCAATGCTGCGCTCCCAAGACACTCGATATTTAACACAGATAAATCTTGATCCGGTATAACCACATAAACTCCTTTTTCTGGCAATATTTTATATTATTTTGCCACAAATTTTATAACTCCCTCTTTGCTGCTTCCTCTTCCCTCCGATTCACGGCGGGGTTGAATCCTTCCCCTGTGGGGTGCATCCCCCGCAGGCGTGTGCCGCCTGGACCTGCAGAACCGCGCCGGCTACACGGCCGTGATGCTCCCCCCGCTGGCTACCCGGCGGTGATGCTCACCCCGCTGGCGGCTGCCGAGACGCCCGAGGACATGGAGGTGGTGATGAAGCTGCTGAAGGAGGGGGACGTCAACCTGCGAGCCGCCCAGGTGCGTCCTCGCCGTTCTGATTCTGTACAAACCGAGCGTGGCTCTGCATGGGACTGTGCCATCGGGATCGGGCAATGCGGCTCCGGCTGATCTCGTAGCCTCCTGTTGATTGCTGGGCAATGCCCCCTCAGGCTGTGGATGAGCAGAAAATAGGGAAGAAATTTTTTACTGCCCAGAGAAGCTGTGGATGCCCCATCCCTGGAGGGGTTCAAGGCCAGGCTGGATGAGGCTTTGAGCAACCTGGGAGGTGTCCCTGCCCATGGCAGGGGGGGGTGGGCTTTAAGGTCCCTTCCCACCCAAACCCTTCTGGGATTCTATGATTCTGTAAAAGCGAATAAGCTCCCTCAGCATTGCAGAGATCTCAGGTTGGGGATATGTGGATGTTGGGTTGGAGTTGCTGCTTCCCAAAAATTACAAAAGCAACTTCAGCTAAATTGCACCAGCTCCCTGCAAAGGGACGCAAGAGCCAGGTAAAATGAAGAAGCAAAAGGAAGGCTGAAAATTGTGCAAAATAATTAATGTGAGCTAAAAAGTTAAAGTCTGGAGAAGTGATGGCAGGGAAGGGCGGAGTGGGGCGGACCCCGGGGCGCGGGGGCTGGGTCAGGGTTGCTGGTGAGCTCGTCAGAG